AATTCAATAGTGATCTGTTAATCTTATAGGTTTTAAACTCATGGACTCAATTAATTGTTATAAATGAATTGAATAATTTGTATTCATAACCTAAAATACTTAATCAAATTGATGATATTTTTCGCTTTAATTATCTTAAGATAGTAATTCAATTAATTTTGTAAAATTGAATTGACTGGTATGGGTATTCTTAAACCCACCCCAACATACTTAATAAATTGTGAATATGTGACTTGTAAAGTAATGTTAAGATAATTAATGCGATTAGAGATTTAATAAGTAAATTAAAGAAAATTTCAATTTTCTCACAAGTGGTGATCAGTAAATGGTCACGAACAGTAATATAATTAATAAAAAGTTGATAATAAAAAAAGGCATATGGTTTATTGTGCAGTATTAGTATTAATTATAATACTGATAGATATATTTAAAATGGATAAAAATAAAGGAACACTATATGGATGAAATTATTAATAAAAATATTTTTTGTTAATATTATGGGACATAGTTGTTGAACGCTATGATTTAGAAGATTATTTGTAATGATAAAATTTTTTTTTATGTTTAGATATGGATAGTGTTAATAAAAAATATTTTTTTTAGTTATTTGGGATCATGTTCTCATAATATTAAATAAAACAAAAAATAATCATAATATGTGTTTATATAAAATTTATTATAAAAGTGAAGAGTTGTTAAGGAGCGGCGCGCTACATTTTTCCGAATGAGGAGCGGGAGCTAGCTCCTTTTAGGGCTTGAGTGGAGGAGCGCCGCTCCATCGCTCCTTTAAATTTATGGTATAAATTAAATTATTTTTTAAATATTAATATTTGATAATTAAAATTCGATAAAAATGAAATTTTATTTTATTTAAATTTATCCATTATTAAATGTTGAGCCGAGTTTTATATTGGGTTTTCTTCTAATTTTTTAAATATTAAAAGTTTTTCATTTTATATTGAAAATTTTGTGGAAAATCTTGTAAGTTTATAGATCATAGAAGAAGAAATCGAATTTCCATTTCCATCATAAAAATATTTTAAACTTCTAAAAGATGTTGATCTAAATGATCAAACAAATTTAAGGGCAAAATGCCTTTTGTGTTTAAGTATATTTCATTTTTAAAAGTGAGCAGCTCCAATCTAAAAAAGCATCTAAAAGTAAAAAAAAATTTCTTTACGAAATGATAACTATATTTTATAATTATTTTTGGGCAATTCATTATAGTTGAGCTTGGGTTGTTAGATATGAAGCTTTTTAAAATATTTTTTAATATTTATTTTAATTTTCTCATTAATTGTTCAACCTCATTTATTATACCTGAATTAAAAAATATCTTTATAAAATACAATACCCCGCTTCCCTCTAGTGCTCCTATGGAGCGCTTATTTAGTATTGCAAAACAGGCCTTAGGGGATAGGCATGGATGTTTGTTAGATTCTAATTTAGAAACTATTACTTTTAAAGGCTAATAAAATATTATAAATATTTTTATAGATCATTTAGTATAAATAAAACTCTTTGATAAAAAAATATGATTTTGTTTCGTGTACCTTCTAAAAAAAATGAAAATCAAAGGAGCGGTTATGGAGTGGCACTTCATTACTTGGAGCGGGATCTAGCTCCTTTTAAAAATGTAGTAGCGAGAGCGGGAGCTTGCTCCTATTGAGAAGGTAGGAGGGGAGCTTGCTCCTATTAAGAAGGTAGGAGGGGAGCTAGATCCTAATGAGAAGGTAGGAGCGGGAGCTAGCTACTTTTAAAAAGGAGCGTTAACAACTCTGTAAAAGTGTTAATAACATGTTTAAAATATTATTTTTAAAAAAAATTTATTTTTTATTTTATTAAAATTTAAAAATTTTATTAGTATTTAATTTTTAAAAGTAATATTAAAATTAATTATAAATTTAAAGTAAAAAAAAATTTTATTTCAAAATTATTTTAAATTCCAATGATGGAAACACAATCGCAGCTCATCAATTAAGACACATTATGTGCAAATTACGTTTATACCTAAGAATGTGGGTATGACCTTTGATTCTCAATATTCTTCTGAGTTGGTGACTAAAGCAAGCTATGCCCCTGAGATACAAAACAAAAAGCGGTGTTTAGATGTAATGCTGATGATCATTTAATACATCAATGCAATCGTCATATGATACCTACAAAAACAAGGAGAAAAAGTTTTTAAAAAAATTATACAGAAAAATGATGAAATAAAAAATAAAAATATGATGAATGATATAACAATGGATAAGAATAGTACAAAAGATAAATTGATACAAAAAGGAAAACCCTCAGCTCTTCCGAATAGAAGTAAGTATGTTCCAGATATCAATACAGCAAGTTCTCTTCAAGTTATGGATCAAGATGACAATCAGATTCAAGCTTGGGAGAATCTATTGTTCCGAGGAGAAGAAGAATAAAGGGAAAAAAAATCCTCTTAATGTAATTATTCAAAATATTATAACCCCTATAACATTGTTTAATTATTTTATACTAAATTTTTAGGGAATGTCACGTGCCCATAAAGGGATGACATGTCCTAGTTTTGTTAATTTATTAATATGTTTTGTTTAATTAAACAAATATATTTTTTTATAATGTCAATTAACAAATATGCTTATTGTTGATTTTGAAGAAAAAATAATGATATAAATAATATTTTTTTTACTAATTGTTGTAGAAAGATCGAAATTACTTTTCTATTTTTATGATTTTTTTAATTAACTTGGAATTATTTTAATTGTTTAAAATAAAATATGCGTTTATCTTGAATTAGTGATGAAATTATAGTTAATAAGTATTAAAGAGTTTAAGTCATTTGCTAGTAAAGTGTGTTCTTTTAAACACATATTGCGAACAATTTCTTCAATGATGGAGGCATTTAGAGCTCTTTTGCAATTTGTAGGTAACATTTTATAGAGGAAACTAGGGATGTACAGATATTTATTTTTTATTGGCTCGGATCGGGCCGATATTTCACCCATTTTAAAATATCGGTTATCGGCCAATATAAAATTTTTCGATGCGATATAAAATGGCGTCTTTAACAAAAATAAAAAGTTATAAAGAATTTTTAAAAAGTTATATCTAAAATCATTTATTTTTATAAATTAATCGAAATCCATTTTTATCTATATTGTTTTAATAATAATAATTAATTAACATTCTGCCATATTGTTATTTTTTTGCGCATCCATTTTATAAAAGTGTGCGATAATCTCTTTAGAATCTGTTTTTAGTGAAGCTGGTGATTTTGACAGTTACTATCACCTTAGACTGACCTCAGATAAATTGGAAATTTTGGTTATTCTAAAAAGAAATCTTCGATATATTAATGTTAAATATTATTTTAAATATATATTTCAAATTTCATAATATATTTGTTTATCACTTATTATGTATATAGATTAATGTTATTACTTTGTATATAAAAGTGATTTAACACTAAAAATATTTTATATACTTTTAGAATCTCAATTGAATTGAATATAAACTATAACTGATCATTATAATATATTTAAATGACATAAGTTATGGTATAGTTAAATTATAGATGTTATACTAATAAAAAGTATATTAAAAATTAAAACCATTGGTCTTTACAGAATACAAAATTAGATATGATATCGGATCGGTAATCGGCCGATATCAATTTAATATCGGATCGGCCTCCAAAAAGTGGTATCGGTACACCCCTAGAGGAAACCCACCTTGAACTAATTCTAATTATTGTAAATGATATAGTGTTTGTTTATGTCTATATTAGGGCTGTGTCAATCCACAAATTTTTTAAATCTGATATTTTTCAATATTACTACATAACTGATCCAGCAAATACAATATGATTGATTTTTATTTACCATATATCTTTGAACCAATATGATAAAAAATCAATATTTTTTTTAAAAAATAAACTAGCTTCCTTAAATGATCAAAATTATTTTGTTTTTTTATACTCCAAAATTTATTCATCGCATTTTAAATATGTGCAATACTTTATGACTCAATTATAGTATTGTTAAATGACTTATTGATTTTATAAAATTTGAAAATTATCTTTTTCCCCAAAATATTTTACATAAGTCTCGAAATTTATCAAAACGCTTTCGGCAAAATCTCCATCTTGGGCAATTTACCTTTGGCTATCGCTTTTAAAAATCATCATGTGATTCTTTAGATGTTGCAGACAATATAATATAAAATAATATCACTATCTTTTAAATTAATTTAATTTCCTTTGAAACATTACAAATAAATTGAATTTTGATTCCTTTTATTTTTATTATTATGAATTTATGTATAAATATAGCTGGCTTTATTAAAACTTTTTATTTATTGTGAAAGTGTATTACAATAATTATCTGATATATTTATCACAAAAATAAAATAACATTTTTGAATATTTGACTAGTCAAGAATATTCATTAAATTTACTAAAAATTTTCATCAGGTCCACATTAGAGATAGCAATGGGCGAGTTTTTAACCCAAACACTCGCTGGTCTCTTGTTTTAAAAAATATTAATTCACCCGTCAACCTATGTATAAAAAAGTTTACCCGTCTACCCATTCATCTAAAAAAAAAATTTTGACCTGTCCTCCCGTCTAATATTTAAATACTATTTTATTGGTTATTTATTTTAATGTATATTTACGTAGAATTTATGAAATATAAAAATAATTTATAATTCTGATCATGGCGCCTTAAAAATATTTCAAATTCACCCACACATGGTTTTAAAAATATTTTTAACCAGCTCGTTCACCCTACCAATGATTACTTTTTTTAACTTGCCCGCCCATAAAGCGGGCGAAATTTGCCCTTTGCAGACCTCTAAACTACATGAAATTTAGATATCTAAAATTTTAGTTTACTTTTTATCTACACTTCATTGTATTGCACACTTAAAAACTTAACATTGCTTTGGTTCTATAATTTAGATCACCAATATTATGGCGCACTTAACAACTATTATTTCTTTAATTTCTTAAATTTAGATCATTCCAGCAAATACGAAGTAATTTTTGACGTGGAAGAACGTGGCCCAATTGGATTTGGGGTCAACACATTGATTGGGAATTATGACAACTCTTTAGTTTAAATTATTTTTATCTTAAATTTTACCTCCCATTAATAATTTTAAAAAATAAAAAACACTGTTTACTTTGCAACATCATAAATAATAACCTATAAATATATATAGCAAACATAATTAATGCCCTTTTCTTTCTAATTTAATTTAATTGAAATGTTATTATTATATAATGTTCTGAAATAACATAAAAATGCCCGCCCCCACGTACTTCATTAAAAAAAATACAAGTCATCCTTCCTAAAAATTCCTAATGTCATGGGAAGGGGTGAAAATGTCAACCTCAATTTATCCTACAACTCTCAAAAATTCCTTGGGTTCAATGCGGGTTTGGCCAAACCTTTGTTTTTTAAGGACCTGCTATGTTCAAAGTATACTACAAAAATAATTGTTTCATTTTACTACCAAAAAAAAGTTTTTACCCAAAAATGAAAACTCTTTAGATTTGCCTAATTTTATCTTATAATCAAAGTAAGAACATTGGGATAATTAATTAAACTTTTTTAGATTTAAAAATCATATTGCAATTAATCAAATAAATATTTCCTTATCACATTTGACACTTGACTATTGTACTTCTCCACTCTTGACTTGAGCCAGTTGATTTGATCAGTATTGATTCTTATAAAACTTTTTAGATTATTATTTTATATTTTTTTTCTTGTCGGAAGGATATGAATCACCAAATCATGACGGATTACTTGATATGGTTGAACTATATTTTATAGTATGCACATTTAATAACGGCCAGTGATTTAAATTTTTAAAACTGAATAAAGATGGAATAATATTTCATTGCACTTTTTTTTTGAAAATCAATATTTTTTTCTATTGTGCCATTTTATTTTTTTATTAAATAATGATATTTAATAAAAACATAAGCTTATCCCTCAATCTATTTAACAATGCACTAGATTACACTTGGTCGAATCTATTCAAAGTAGAGAAGGGAATTAGCCTCATGCTTCAAGTTAAATGTTAATTATTTAATATTTTTACCACATTTATTTATTCATTCCTTTATTTCTTTTTTATTCCTTCAATTTAAATAATTAACGTTTACATTAAGAATAATTTAACCAAATACTTGAATTATACTCTGGGATTCGAAACATGTTGGAGGCACGCGAGTGGCCGAAAAGAATTCACCCCTTTTACCATTCGCGAACAATACGGACATTCGTTAAAAACATCTTTCAAAGTTTTAATTTTTTATGGTTTGAGATGCACCGATACCTTTTTTTAGGTGGGTACCAGTTGAATATTGACTGAAACCACCAATACCAAAAAATTAAATTATATGATTATCTGTAGTATTTACTGAAAAAAGAAATCCCTAAAGTCTACATTTTACGCCCAATATTGTTTTTTTATTATTCATTATATAGTTAATTCCACAATAAAATTTTAAAAGTATACGGAAAATAATAAATAGCCTTTTCTTATTGGATACAGTGAAGTATGTTATTTAAAACAAGTGTTATTTTTAATAATATGATTTTATGTCATAAAACAAATGAACAAAATAAAACAATTTTCGAAAAAATTTAAACCTATATGACAATTTTTATTTAAAATAATACAAGAATAATATAATAGTATAATTATATTATAAAATAACATGTTGTATTCCATGTCAAATGACATCAAATAATTAGATTTTTGACTGACCCTTTTCTTTTTTAATTAATTTAGTGAACCAAATTAGAGTAACTAGTTGTTAAAATTTTAGCCAAACACTATTTTTGGAGATAATAGGGATGAAAGTGAGAAATATACCTTTTTTAAATATCATTATTTGCCTCCATTTGGTTAGTGATTCATAAAAATATCATTGTACGCCTTTATATTTATTTTTTTAAATTAGCTTAAAACCGGCATGTCATCCTTAAAATTTTTAAAAAAATGAAAACTGGAATAATTTTATCCCTATCAGTTGGGGTATTACATATAAGATGATTTATTGTGTAAGTGAAAATATGGTGTGATAAAATATATAGTATATTTTTATAAATCAATTCTATTCCTAGAATTTGAGCAAGTGAGCCATCTCAATTTATATTTTTCAGAGATAAAACTTTATTTTTAACTTTAAGAATATTGAATTAAATATTATTAGGGCTCCACTATTTTTTCACAAATCTTTTCCAATATTTGCCAATATATTTCAAACTTTTTTGTAATTATTTTGTACTATATAGGATAATGGAAAATAAAAATCTCTGTATACATTTTTTAAAAAGGCGTTTTGATCATAATAACTTATCCCTGGCTTTTAAAAATAAAAAAAAGTCTTAAAGCTTTAAAATTCTAAAAATATGTCTTATCTTTAAATTTATAGATAAAGGTTTGTATTTATGAGATATACAGTGTTGTGATGATTTAATGAAACATATTGACCATTAAATTCAAACCCATTCATATAAAATTATAGTATTTACAAAAATAATTAAAATAATAAGAGGAATAATAAAAGAACAATAATGCTTTGTCTATATTTTAATTATTTTTGCAAAATTATAATTTTATATGAATGGGTTTGAATCTAATCGTCAATATGTTTCATTAAATCATCACAACACTGTATAATAAATATGTTTTATTTTATTATGTTATAACCCTTAAAGAATAATTATACATATATTTCCATATTATTTTTTTTTAATGATGATCATGATTTTCACTTTTCTATTTTAGCCTTAAAAATAATTATTTATTATTAGCACACTATATATTAGAGATCTGCAAATCTCGGTCCGGTCAGAAAAATAATTTCGGATTTTTTAAAAAAATTTGGGCCGAGTCGGGTTTAAATTTTCAATTATGATATCATTACATTTTATCATATAAATTGATGTTTTTAAATTCTTACAAGGAAACAAGGCGCTATATTTACAATAAAAAATGAAATTTTTCTATATTTAAATAAATTCAGGCTGGGCGGACAAATAATTTTTATTTCGGATGGGGCTTTTCGGGACAAAAAAAATCAGGATCGTGTCGGGTAACACGAATTTTTTTAAAAAAATTTTGGGACGGGCCTAGCTTGAAACATTAGGCCCTATGCAGATTACTACTATATATATATATTCATATTAAATTTTCTGTATAACAACTTATATATCTTTATATGAATAAAAAGTAAAAGCAAATTAAATATCAAATAATAAAATTATATAATAATGACAAGACAAGTACATGTTTTTGAAATAGTATTTATTTATTATTCAAGAGATATATTTTTTTAAGTTTTAAACTTTTACCATGTGATGTTTTCACGTGTAAAATGATAAATTTTGTCGAATACCTTAAAAACATTAAATCATCATAATATTACTAATACGTGACGATAAATTTATTGCCATTTTCATTAGTATTTTTAAATTTTGATAATGAAGCCCGGCTGATCCCACTATAATTTTAAAAATAAATATATAGGAGATGTACAATGATATTATTTAAAAAAATTATGGAATTTTTGGCCTGTTGTATTATAAAAATTGCGCTTCAGATCACAATAAATAGTCGACAATTTGAAAAAATTTTCCGCAAAAATACAATATCTGAAATATAGTTTGTTATTTAATATTATGTAGCTTTTTTAGTAAATCGGTAATTGAATGGAAACCAATAATGATAAGAATAGACGATTTTTCCATTTTGACCCCAAATATTGGGCAATGACCGAAATGAAAAAGTATGAGAAAGAAGGTTGCAAATGAAAAACTTTAAAAATCCTAGTCGGTCTTTAAAATTGGTATCTCTGCCGTATGCTACTTAACGTAAAATTTGATCTCTACAACGTCATATATTTTTTAACTGTACAATATCAATAACTATCAGAAGATGCCAATTAACTTTAAATAACCATATTTTAAATGTTATTTTAAACTTTGTCAATTATATATCCCTTTAAAATTTTATTTTCCAAAAGCATAGCATTAATATTGACACAAGAGACAATTTATTTTTACCCACCAGGGGAGTTTTTTTGAAATTTCAACAAGAGTTTGCCAGAACTGGGCTCTTAAAGATTGGAGCAAATTTCGTCAAAACCCAATGCGATTTCCACTACAACGTTCCTTTACCCCCTGCTTTGTTGGATACTGTATGTTAAAAAAAAGAACCTTTTCATTATTTTTTTAATGATTAATTATAATAAATAATTACAAACAATTAATTTTTATCTCAGTAAATTTTATTTATCATTTTAGTATAGTCGAAGTGCGCTATAGGATTTTAAATCAAAAGAATGAGACTCATATAATGATTTTACATATTTAAGGTTTTATAGAAAATATTATTTAAAAATAATTATAATTTAAAGTCAACGATACATTTAAATAATCTTTTATTTACTATTTGGCAGAGGCTAAAACAAATTCTTGTTTATATTTTTAATTTTTTTTATCCGAAATTTGTAAAAATTATCTAATTTATTTTTTTCATAAATTTATAAAAATTTAAAATCATTTTTATTTAGTTTAATATTTTGCTACATTATACTTGAAAAATAATATTTATTCGTTGTTTTAAACAATTAGAATTAATAAAATAAAAATTTTATTAGGGCTTTCAATGATTATCTATAACAAGGCTTCAAGCCTCCCTTAAAAGAGAGGGTTTGAGTTCAGGTAAAAGTTAGGGCTGCCCCGATTCATGATTTTTTCAAATATAACCCAATCCGATATGCTAATACTTAAAATTTATGGATAATTTAACAGGGTTACTGAAACTAGCTTTAATGTTTCGAGAATTAACAATTAATTAAATGAATATTTCTTTTTTTACCTCCCAGAAGTCGATCATTTCATCTAGAATTCTAGATATTATTAAAAGAATATTGGCTTATCCTGTTTTAACAAAAAGTTAATATAGGCTCAGATTTGATGTCAATATTCAGAATCGGTGCGACCCTAGTTAAAATCAATAAATCAGGATTTGGGTTTGGAACACAGAATAATAAGAGCTTAGAAAATTTATTTAAGGTAACACAAACACGTTATTTTAAAAAATTGTATATTTTATTTTAAAAAGATAAATTTAAGCAAGTGATCATTATATCTAACATAACTGGCATTATGCATTTTTAGAGGAAAAACCTACTATTTTATAGTTACCCAATATTCTTATTAGCTATTTTTTAAGAATCGATTATTTTTTTTATTGACTAAGTAATGTCCTTATTAGTATTAAACGGCTCAATTTCGCCAATTTTAAAATTAAGATTTTAGCCAAATATATAACGTAAGTCCAGAGATTTCGTATATAGATGGCCAAACCTTTCTGCCATAATCAAATTCTCCAGGCTTGTGTAATATTTTTTATATTTGGTTAACTATTCCATTTTTATATTTATTTTCTTTTGTCATTTATTAAAGAATATTCAATTTTGATACTTCATTAAAAAAGATATCGATTGCTTCTAGTTAACCCCAACCATGTAATTGCTTTCTATATATATCGCATACTTATAATTTCACAATTATGGCAACAAAAAAAGATAGGTAATACAATTCACTTTAGGAAGCGGGATTATAGTGCAAAGTAATTACAATGCAAAATCCGAAGCCAACTTTAGACCCGTACATTTGATGGACAAGTTTTTCTTGGGCGGTCCTCTGACATTTAGAGGCTTTACACTTGGTGGTTTAGGTCCTCATGCTTATGGTTAGCGATGTTTATTTTATTCTTAGAATTCTTTTAAAGGGTAAGATAGGGGAGAAAAAAATGAAGTGTAAGTATAAGTAGTTTTGTTTAATGAATGGATAAAGTTTTATATCATGTGAGATCATTGATGCCTGATTGAAATGTTGTCCTTTTGTACTTGTATAATATGAGACAGACATTTTATTTTGAAAAAAGCGTTAAAAATAGAAGAGGGGGTTCTAACTAATTTGTCTCTGATCCATACAGAAGCATGTGTAAACACATTATTATAGATTAATTTTGAACTTATGAAGGTTAGAAAAAATGTTAAATTATTATTTTTGTATTTAGTTATTGAGACTTATGATTTTACTATGGACAATTACTATTTTTTAAGTTGTTTGAGATCTATTTTTATATTAATTTATTTTAGACTTATAAGACACATAAAAACGAATACATTAATTTTTCTTCTATTATCTTTATATCTTGTAAAAACAATAATAATAATTGTATTGTTTCTTATAAATAAATTCTACATTTAAAAAAAAACAATAATATATTCCAATATAAATAATTTTAAAAAAACAATAATACATGTGATGGATCAAACGTATCGCCAAGTAATTTAAGCTTTAATATAAGCAACCAAAGCCATGTTTTTGCCCAGTTTAACATTATATTCCATATTTACTATATAAAAGCCTATCTAAATGTCTCGAAATACTTAAGTAATTCTTATTATGCTTGCCCAAGCTTTGTCACGGGACCCCCCACCCATTTCGGCCTCAAACCTGACTCTCATCAAAATTTTTGGCCCCCACAAATGGACCCAAAATTTTCCTGTATTCAAATTTAAAATATTCCTTAGCAAAATAGTGTTGACGAATTTATCAGTTCCCATGATGATTCTTCTCAACATGGTAAGTCAGCCAATAGCGAGATTTAATTCATTGAACAAATAAGATAAATTATAAATATCACGAGGTGATACCTAAACTTTAATTAGACCAATTCATGTCATCTATTAATTTAATATTTAAAAAAATTGAAAGGACGAATATAATTACCTTTAAATGACAAATTCTTTTTCAAAATAAGTTAAAGATATTAAAAATGGCAAACTACTTCCAGTCTATCACGCGATCAATACATAATAAATATTAAAATAGATCCAAAGAAGAAAATATAATTAGAAAAATAGAAAACTTTAAGAGAGTGGAATATAAAGGGTTTTTTGATAATGGGGTCCATACACTTTAAAATTGAAGATGTGATATAGGTAGATATTGAAATTATTTGAAGGTTGATCACCTTGTATAGATATTATTATAACTATTTAATCCTATGTTTTGTATCAGGTTTCTCCTTTCGACATTCAGAATGTCAATAAAAGTTAATTTTAACCTTGCCAATTTCTTTTTACTTTTATTTAATAAGGCAAGGGCTTTTATCCAATTTTTTTTATTTCCCATGGATGTTATAAATAAGTGCTTTTGCCTATTACCTGCATAGATAACTGTAGCCACCTAAAAACTGTTGATGAGCTTCTTGTGTTGCCTCCTTTTTAACTTAATTAGATGGAATTTGGAAGAGTTCAAGTGTAGCTCTGCATTTTTTATAGCGAAAATTGCGATTGCATTTACTATGACGTAAATATTAAAATAATATATAAACTTATAGAGGACAAAGATTTTAGGACGAATATTCTTTTAAACACCTAAGTTATTCAATATTGACGTTGTACTTTCAATTGTTTCGAGAGTTAATGAAAGATAGAAAAATTTATGTTTTCGTCTATCTTTTAATTCATTTATAATTTAAAAATTAGAATCGGCGAATTATATTATAGCATTATTTTGAATATTGATATTTATTTTTACAAATTTTTTAAAAAAAATAGCATAAATTTTCTGAATGTCTAACTATTGGTTTTATTCCCAAAAAATGTTGGGCCTTACAAATAAAGAGCCCTCCCTCTAACTGGAAAACTACCGCCCCGCTCTTGCCAATTTATAAATCGAAAATACGGGGTATATTATGTTTAATAATAACATTGTATGAAAAATTTTCTATATGGAATATAATAAACCAAAAATATGCAAAAAAATTAAATATACAAAAGAGGCTATTCAAGTTTGAAAATAATAATTACTGTATTTTTTTTAAAAAAATTCATGTTTTAATATTAATATGTGTGATAAGATAATTTTAACTTGCCATAATAATATTGGGCTATAATCGATATTCTTAAACGCGAATGATGGAGCCAACTCTCTTATATTTAAAAAAGGTAGGTACATTCATAGTAGTTTTTGGAAAGTTATTGAGTCATAAGAAATTTGATACGACAACGATAGAAGATCGTCAACCTACTATTTAATGTCTCCTTTAACTTAATAACTATCCAAACAGATACGACAAATTTAGGAAGAAGAGCTTTAAAATTATAATATTATATTTTTTTATGGTATTGTATCATTTAGGGCAAGCCCTAGGGATCGATTCTTATTGGTCGTCTGGCATTCATGCTTATACTCCTCTGCCTTTTATCAAAAATAATTACAAATTGTTCTCCCATTATTTGAGGATCCACTCATTTGCCAATATTGGAAGCATTGGAAATTTCATAATTCCCCATTTGATTGGCGATGATGGTAAAATAAAATTTTATCCATTTTTTATACCATTTTATTTAAAAAATAACTTTGACCCGCGATAAATTATTTCTTTTTTAGAAAATTACAACAGCACTGTTTAACAAAAAATGCGATTTTTTAAAATAATTGCATATTATAATTCGAAAAACAAATAAAAACAGATATACCTAATAGTTCACTAACTTCGCTCGAAAGCCCTAAAAACAATGGTTTTACGAATAATAATAATGGTGATAGTTTGAACAACGTTTGGGGTCAAATGCATGATAACATAAGGATCAGTGTAGGAACCGGCCTAGTCCTGAATTTCGGAAATATGGCTCGATGTGAATTTAATTACACGCTTTATAACAAAACTGGGAGAACTGACAAGTTGAGTATAATATTTCCTTATTACCATATAGTAGTCCTCTGCGTTGAACCTTTGGACCTATTTTTTCATTTTCGGCTTGTTCCGATAATTTTTATATTTCATAAACTCGACCCCATTTTCTTAGAACATTCGTTCCAGCCCATTATTTTGCGAAAAAAATCAAGGAAGTTATAGAAAATTTTGCTATTTATTTTTTAAGGAAAGCGAGAAAGTTTAATATAAATTTTATAAAAAATATTTGTTCGAGTCCTACCTTGCCCGATTATAATTTTACCAGAATAATTCTCCATGAACCTAATTCGGACTCAGGCAGATTTGTACAGGGCTCTACTATATCGTAAATTAAGTGAATGCTTTCTAATCCAAAATAAATCTGTAATTATATATTCTATATTTTATTATTATGTTCTATGTCGTTCCTAATTTTTGTATTTATAATTCCGGCCAGTGTGGTTTAACTGCTGTGATTAATTATTTATTATTCTTAAAAAAATCATGAACCTACGTCTGCAAACATTAAAATTGCAGGAATTGAAATCTTCTGTTTACTTAAAATTCAGTGCATTTTGAAATTTTTTAGTTTGCTTATTCCTGAAATTTTAATGTTTGCAGAGGTTAGTGACACATTGCGTAAAAATTTGGCAGGAGGGCTATACTTTTTTAAATTAAAATCAGTAAATATATATATGAAAATTTTTTAATATTGCAATATGAATTAATCAAATATTACCTAAATAAAATACAAAAAAATAGATTATAAATTTATAAAATTTCCATATTAATCTTTTCATAGTTTTCTTTAGGTTGGAATTTTTTAAAAATATTTCATTAACACTTTGATGGTATGTGTGAACCAGGTCCAATCTGCTACGAAGACCATTTAATTTTATGAAAATCAAATTTGCCATATTATTTTCTTTTTAAATTAGCTAGATGCCAAAAATTAGTAAATTCAAGAGTTAAAAAAAACTTTCGCGCACTCATGAGTGCGGAAATATAAAGTATCCAAACAGTTGAGAAATTAAAGTTGCCAGTTGTAACATTCTCGATCAATTGTTACCCAATCATTTAATTCCAATCCTTGATAAATTCTTATTTTATTTTCACAAGATCTCATAGCTTAAATTATGATGCCCTCATTTTCAAAGGCATTCTTTAGACGGGCCCCCATTATATTTTACAGAGAAATCATAAATAAATTTATATTTTTTTAAAATTATATATTTTTAAATATGAAATTAGTTTTTAAATCGAATAATATTTGAATTTAAAAAATTCTAGACATCTTTAAACAAATGAATAAATGTCTCCTTTGATAGCCTTTTGTGCTTTGTAAACATGATAATATTTTTGCGCAGTAACAATGCTCAGCTTTGTAAAGACATCATTCATTAACCCTAAATCCTTGCTTATCGAATAGGCCTCACTTTAAAAAACACTATAATTAAAGGTATGTTATAAAGAAATAAATTGATTTATAAGTTGTTCCTTCAAATATCGATATTTTATTTATTTTTTAATATAATTTTTGAAATATTTTTTATGCGAGTTATTTTTAGCCAACATATCATTAAAGTGTTTAAAATGCATCATAGGAATTCCATATAGCTTATAAGGATTTGAAGACACTTTATCGTAACACCTTATTAATCGCTCATTTGATAACGCGATATACTTAAAACTGATTTTAATATATTTGAAAGGTTAAATTTTGATAATATCTCATTTTTTGACTTTTCCGTTTAGATTTCTTTAAAAATTATAATTAATTTTTTTTATTGAAAAACTAATATTTTAATTTTCATAAGTATCGTTTTTAAACTTAATTATCATCTTATCTAGGAAACAGGTAACATAAGCAATAAGAGTGGTTCTAATTTATACTTTTTATTAGTATTATAAATCAATGTATCACAAGTAAAAAAATATAAAATATTTAATTGCATGAAATATGGTTAATAGCTTTTAAAAAATATAAAAGAATCCGATAATCAATTCAGAATTCGAAACACATATATTAAGTGTTTTTTATATCTTCATATTTCTTTGAAAGGTACGGTGTTGTCTTCATTATGACGTGAAGATATAGGGCCTTCTATTTTTGCATATCTTTTTAAATCCCTTCAAAAATTTTCAAAGTGTTGTGTGAGAATATTAGTACAGGAATTGAATTCCATAATGCCAGCCTTCAACACCATTTGTTGTTCGGTGGCACCATCTTTATTTCGTTGCTCTATTAGACCTGTGCGCTGCCGGCTCACGCCGGCGCCGTCGGTAATTTTATTCATGCCGGAAAAGCCGCCGATTGAGACCAGCGCCCCAAGCCGGCTCGCCACCGACTTTTTTTATGGCGGCAACGTGGCGTGTATAATCTTTAGAAGTTTAATTATATTTATATATTAAATTGTTATTATATTAATTTGAATATTAAATTGTTATTATTTAAATTGGAATTTAATAAAATGAAAATATGAATTGTATTCTATAGCTATATATAATAGAATAGTGTATATCATTTACATTCATTCCTACATCATATTTCATTTCCACAAACAATAATATATTTTTATGGACTTGCATGTTTTAAACTACCCTATATTCATTTATGAAATAACAACTCTCTCTACTAATCATAAATCAAGTTATGTCTGGAGGTACTTTGGAAATCTTATTTTGAAGAATGAAATAAGAAAAGCACAATAATGCCTGATTATAATTATTGTGAATCTTGCATAAAATTCGGGAAATAACGATAAGGAAGATTTGGTTAAACATAATCCATTTTCACAGTAATTTATTTTAATCTTAGACTTATATTTATATATAATTTATTTTAGTTATGAAATAAAATGTTTTAGTAAAAATATAAATACAAGTAACCTTTCTCGGCACTAAGTAAATGTTAATAAAATATCAGAAAAATTAATAATAATAAATCCATTAAAAGTCTAAAAATGTTTTTAAAGCCAACACAAGATGTTGCAACAATATAAAAGATAAAAAATGGCTCTTAGGTTAGTATTAAATTTTTAACTGGTTTATTAAATTAAATTTATTAAGCTTTATTTTGAAAGTTCAGATATCAACATCTAAAATTTCAACTAGTCTAGAACAAGAATGGCATATTTTGCTCAGCCAACATAATATCCCAGAAGAGGATGCATTAACCTTTTGGAAGAAAAAGCGACTAGAACTTCATAGGAGTGCTAATTTAGCTAGGACAATTCTGTATATATCTGCAACCAGCACACCTAGCGAAAGTATTTTTCCCATTACTGGATTAATTGCAAAAAGGACTTATTTACGGATCTTGATAAAATACTATTTATTGATGACAATTACAATTTTGATAAATCAAATTCTGATTTATTATATTTCATACTTTATATATTGCTTGCATTCCAAATTTATATTTTAATTTGTTATAATAAAAATCAATAGAATATTATTTATATGTGACTCTGATCTTAGTAAAAATGGAATTTCTTAGTCGACTTCTGAGAATGAGAAGACACATAAATTTAATTGAGACAGGAAATAATTTAGAAATAAAGAAAAGAGCTACCAAATAAATTATAAAAAATCTAATACATTGATTTATAAATTAAATTCATTAAAAAATTTTTTTAAATAAATATCGCGCCAAAATCAGCGCGCCGCCGAGCGCTGATAAGAAAAAATTTAAAAATGCCGCCGCCGTCGATTGAGATATTGGCGCACAGGTCTATGCTCTATAGATATATAGATTTGCAACAAAAAATTATTTTTTATACTAGGATTTCTATGTCCTCGGATATAAGTAGGAAATAAGCTCAGATGAGCCATTCAATTCTGTAAATATATCTGTCAAGGTATCAAATGAATTTCTAACATTATCTCCTGGGACATAAGCAAGGGCTGAAAAACATGACTCATAGAATTCTTTTAATACTAAATCATTTATTTTTCAATTAATAATTTGTTTCAGATGGAAATAACATTCAAATATATCTGCAAGTGGATATCTCGCCCTAAATGCATTTAACGGTATCTATTCAAAATTCACCGATATCTTCCTCGGATGTTACCCTGGTAAAAAATTGTTTTAGCTCCTAATATAAAATTTGGTTATATCTCTACTAATATATAATGTGATTTACGAATAGAATAGCATTATTCGTATTTGAATAAATCGAATATTTCCTTATTTGTAATCGTATGAATAATAAAAACATTATTCTATTTTATTCGTTCTTATTTTCTGATATTGGTTCAAAACCGATTCGATATTTATATTGATTTTTCACCACTCCCCTTTGAACCAAATGTAATTAAGAAATCAATATTTTTTATGCATATAATCGAATTATGCATTTAATTTAATTTTTTTATTTCTACAATAATTATAAAAAGTTTACGGATATAGGTATGTATTAAATAAATTTTTCATTATTCCTCCCCGTGAAATTAAAATTCTGCAGATAACGCATTTTGCAAAATTAGTTGTCTTTTGTAAAATATTTTAATACAGATACCTATTTAAAAATATTCTATTATTTAAAGTATAAATAATAAAGGCGTTATTATTTAAAAAGATTTAAAATAAATAAAACTTTCGGTGTTCCTTTCTATTTTTATAAAACTTTTAAAATACTATAGATCTATTTTAAAGAATAAATAAAATTTAAGGGGTGTTGTGCATTTGCATTTTTAAAAAATAATAAAAAAAAAATATTATTAATGTATATAATAAATATATATAAAATAACAAAAGAAGAGTAAAAAGATCGGATCGGTTTTTATAGGTATCGGCCCTATCCGATCCGATATTTAATATCGGCACAACCCTAAAAATATGAATATTTTTTTAAAAAAATTTGTGAAAAGATTTCTTGTTCATGAAAATTATAAAGATTTACTTATAAAAGTTTTTACTAAACATATTTGGAATTTTAGGTAAAATTTGATCATAAATCTTTCTTTTATAAAAAAATCTTTAAAAATTTTTTTTCAAGCTGAGATTATTAAAATTTAAAAAGTGATTTATAGATGTAGAAATAAAGCTTAAAAAGAAAATATTCCTTAAGGAACATGTTAAATCCTTACAAATAATTTTAAATATTTATGAATGTTTTAATATTTACGAATAGTTTCGAATAATATCAAATGTATATGATAAATTTAGAATAATATGAAAAAATCAAATTTTATGAATAATTCGATCGAATAGTGGGTAAAATAATTTTCGCCGAATTATATAATTACCTTATTTCGAATCCAATAATATGTTTATTCGTATTTGTAAAATACGAATCGAATCAAATATTGAATAATTTGTTTTAGGTATAACTAGGTTTATTATCCCTGCATATATATGGGCTGTTTTGTTTGATAATAAGCAATATATACCAATAGGATTAGCGCTCGGTGGAGCATATTCCTACTACATTCCGGATATATTTAAGTGAAATCCGTCGGGATTGGAGGCAATATGGTTGAGCCTTATTTTTTGCCGCTGTGAGGGTCGATAAAGGGCTGACTTATTTGGTATTATATATTATCATTATAAAAAAGATTTATGCCTTTTACAGCAAATCACACAATAACTCTAAATATAAATAGAATTTCAAAGAAAGTAGAGATAAAATTATTGGGAAAATCTGCCACTTTGCTGGGGTTGCTTGTACCTTGCAAATGGACCATACAAGCGCTTAGTGACATATCACGCGACACTTTATTACGGCGTCACTTTATCACTTAGTCATTTGATAATTATAAATAAAAAAATTTAAGTGTAATAATTTGGTATGTTTATTATTAACAATAAAAAATTTCCCATATCTTAAAATTCTTGAAAAAATATATAGATTTTTTTAAACTCAATCTTTTTTTCAACAAAGATTTATAATTGTTAAAAAATAAGCACTGTTATGTATTTATCCATAAATATAATAATATATTTTTCTCTATATTTAGCTCAATTTTCTATATTATAAAGAATATATTTTTATTTATAATGTTAGAATTTGGATTTACATCAAAAAATCCAACCCTTTTATAATCAAAATTATATTCAAAATTTAGAACAAATAATAATAAATGAATATGCTGGAGGTGCGCCAAAAATAAATCTTAAAAATGCAAATCTTTTATAAAAACACAAGTAAATGATATTTTAAGAAGCCCCTTGATCATACACATGAAGTTGAAGTCAGAAAAGCCCGAGATTAAATCAAAATTAAGTAAGTTTTCTAGTCCTTCGTTGGCCCACGCAACTACCTTATTAAATTATAATAATACCTTGATGATTATGCCAAATAAATCAATCCTTTCTTTATCGATCATTTATATCAAGCTCAAATATTATATTACTTCAAATCCCGGCGGATCTCACTTTTATATATCCAGAATGTTACAGGGATATGCTATAAATTTCTTGGCCTGGGAATGAAAATTTAGGATTTATAATATTAAGCACGGACGAACTGCTCGAAAGATTATCAATATCCGATATATGGATATGTGATGGTACCTTTAAAATTGTTGAAATATTCTTTCATCTTTATACCATCCATTTTCAAATTGCACCGGGCACGAATCCTGTTGGTATATTTTGCTTATTACCAAATAAACAGCGCCTACTTATACAAGGATAATTAACTTAATCATATTATATATTTTAAGAGTTATAATTCAAATTTTATTTTAAGAGCTAAAACAATTATTACCAGAGGCACATCCGAGTAAAATATTGAGGGATTTTGAATGGGCACCTTTAAATGCGTTTAGAGGTATATCTGGCAGTCTTCTTGGATGTTATTTCGATCTAACAGAGCGTTAATAGAAAAATAAATGATTTGGGGTTAAAATAAGTCTATGAGTCTAATGATGGGTTTGGATTGTATATCATGTTTTTATAGGTCTTGCATATGTCCCAGAGGTGATGTTGAAAATTCATCTGAGACCTTCTCACAAATATTTGAATTGAATGGCTTTTCCGAGCTTATTTCCTACTTTAAAAAAACATATATCTGAAAACGTATAAATATTTTAAAAGAAATTTTTTTTGTTGTAAACTTATATATTTATAGGGCAACGAAATAATTTTGTAGCTCCTCTCTATAATGTAATCTTATGGAACAAACACAATTCTAAGTGAGAAACAACTGTTTTCAAAGCTGTTATTATGGAATTCAATTCCTATACCAATGTTACCACCCAGCACTGGAAAATTTTGAGGGATTTCGAAAAGATATGCAAAAACATAAGGCCCTATACCTTCAAGTCATAATGGGGACCGCACCGTACCTCTCAAATAAATATGAAATGTAAAAAAACGATTTCATATATGCGTTTTACGAATTATAGACTATCGGATTCTTTTACATTTTTAAATTCCATTGCCCATATTTCATTAAATTAAATATTTTCTATATTTTAATTTATAATTACTTCCTAAAAATAAGTATGAATTAAAACTAGGGACAATATTTTTATCGGATCGGGCCTATATTTTGCCCATTTTAAAATGTCGGTTATCGGCCAATATTATAAAATTATCCGATCCGATATAAAATGGCATCTTTAACAAAAATAAAATGTTATATAATTTTTTAAAAAAGTTATATCTAAAATCATTTATTTTTATAAATAAAATCGAAATCCATTTTTATGCATATTTTTTTATTAATAATAATTAATTAAACATTCTGCCATATTGTTATTTTTTTTGCGCATTCTGTTTATAAAAGTATGCGACAATCTCTTCAGAATCAGCTTTTAGTGAAGCTGGTGATATTGACAGTTACCATCGCCGCAGGCTGACATCTGATAAATTAAAAATTTTGGAATTTTAAAAAGAATTCTTCGATATATTAATGTTAAATATTATTTTAAATATTTATTTCAAATTTCATATATATTTGTTTTTTACTTATAATATTTTTGATATAAATTTACAGTGGAGAGCGTGTCTCCCATACGCATCTGCCGATTGATTACATTTAATGCAAATATAATGGTTTAGGAAAGGTACGCCCAAGCGTAAATTGATTGCATAACGAAAAGCGTCGTTATCTATTAGCTGATTATTTAAAATGCTGGGATATGAATCTAACCATTCAGAGTTGTTGAAATTAAAAGATCTTAGGAGGTATTTATATTGGTGATCATCGCTCAAGTTGAGGTAAGCTAAGGAACGAGATACCAATCCTTGATCCCAATCTTTTTGTTTCGTTGAATCTGGTGGGGCTGTGTTTGGTAAGACATTAATATTCCAACAACGTAAGAATTCATCTAATAAATTATCTTTATCGATGGTAATAATTTGCGAGGTAATATTTTATTACTGATAAGGTTGATGAGATGAAGAAAACAAGGGCTATACTTAATGCCGATCTTAGACCTAGTCTTCTGGATTTACTGGGGAGAGTTGCTTGAAGCCATGAGTTAGAGTTTGATGTTTAATAACTCTCATCATTTGTTTGTTCATATTCTTTTAAAAGAATTTCAAAAAAAGCTTGCATGAGAGAGCAATATCACTTATTAGGTTTTTAAGGGTATAGCAAAAAAGTAGTGGTCCTAAATGGGTCACCATGTTGGAGGCCTTCTGCAGAATTAATAATATAATCATTAAATTTGACTAAGGAAGGAATGCCATAGCTAAGATGGATGTAATTGTGGTAGTCAGGGAATGTTTCCAAGAAAGTATCGATCATTTTATTCCTATTAATTGAATTAAAAACATTAAATATATCTAGTTTTGCTATATAATCTCCAGGTTTGAGGTTGGATAAAACTAGTCGACTGCAATGAATTGCGGTTTCACAGCCTCCTTTTCCTCCAAATCCCACTTGGTAAGCAGCTAAGCTTAAGGTTATTGTAGATTTGAGTCGATTACAAATAATTTTTGAAATGGTTCGTCGATAGAAAATTCGAATAGCTATTGGGCGCACTTTTCAGCTTTTTCTGTGGTAATTTCCCCGTTGATAATAAGATTAAAAATTTTCGTTAAAGAATTAAGTAGAAATTCGGAACTGTCTTAACCCAAGAGGTCAGTAATAAATGAAGGTCGAAGGTAATCCAGTCCTGGAGCAGAATCGTTTGGAAAAGATTTAATAGCGGTTAAGGCTTCTTCGGGAACGAAATTTATCTTTGAATTTATTATAGGCAGTATTTGAGGAGTGTATTTGGGGCTCGGATGTTTTTCTAAAAGTTGATTTCTTGTGGTGATATTATCGGGTGCCAAAGTGTTTGCGTTAGCAAGAGCTCGGAGAGCTCCTTTTAGTTTGAAATTATTAATCCTATTATATATTAGTTTGTGTGAGGGGTTACTTAAAGTCTTTTTAGCAGGATCGTTGATATTTGGTGTTAATTTTTCAAAATTAAGATCAAAGTTTCTATTCTTTCTTTGATGGTTTGGCATAGTGGGGTTGGGTTAACTTTTGAGGGATAAGATAATATTAATGTTGGGAAATATATCATTTCTCCAATTTAGATCTTCTAGATTTTGTAAAATATTATAAATAATTTTGATATAAAATAAATTAATTTAAGGGCTGCTTTTGGGATTCGTGATATGGTAGGGCTAAAATAGCTTGTTAAAAATTTTTGGTATTCCAAATCAGGAATTGGATATTTTTTTATAAAGGTCTTTTCCTGTGTTGGATTTTCATTTGGTGGATTAAATAATTGATAGTCGTTTGGGGTTGAAATTAAAGGTGGTGGTATATCAGGTGAGATGCTAAGTCATGAAGGTTCAAGCAGGAAGGCTGGAAGTTTATTACTACCTGGGCATCTTGAAGTGAGTGGACCATGGATGGTTATTAAATTGTTATTTTTTATGTTAATAATTCTAAAGCAATATGTGCAAGTTCTCCTATTGCTCATGTTCTAGTTTTGTGATATAGTTGGGTTATCTGAATTGCCTTTATAATGATCCAAGTATGAAATTGTGATAATGTTAAATTATAAGATACTATTGTAGTTTATAACTATTTTCTTGGCAGCATCGTTTTTTTATTACATTCGTTTATAAGTTCTTTCTAGAGATATACTTCATAATAAACCATAAGTATTCAATATGAGTTCTATATCATTATTTCCATTGCATGTTTTTATATTGAAAGATTCATGATGTTATTTGTCGTTTTAATTGATTAAAATATATTAAAGCTTAATTTTAGTAAACTATTACGAAAAAAAATCATAATAACAAAAAGACAATATTGAGGCATAGATCATAAAATAATGTAATACAAAATAAATAAAAGCGAAAGCAGCAAAATTATTCAAAACCTCCTTCACCCAATCATCAGGAGAGATCGAATTAATAAAACAAACATAATTAGCCTTAAGAATATATATATATCTTGTCAACAATTTAAATATGTTTAAATAAATCAATAAGTATAAATTTTTTATTTATTTTTAGCTATTGATTTTCAAAATTGAGATTGCTTAGTTCCCAACGCAGCTTTCGCTGTTCTAAAAACACGTTGGCGCAGAGGATGGGAGGGTTGTATTGTATTAATAAATAAAAATTTGGGTGAATTTATAAAGAACATTTAAAGAATGATCATTTTTTTAAAAAAATTTATGGGATCATTTTCAAAAGAATCTTCTATTTCATAAAAGTTTTTTTATTATCTATCAAATTTTAATCTGAATTCATATTTTTACCTTCATATGTTTTTGATTTGAGCTACTGAACATTGAGGTTGAAATATTTGAATTAGGGCACAATTTACACTTATAAAGTGTAGACTTAGTACCCTTAATTTTCTTTGTTTAAAAAATGTTTCATTCTGGGGCAGAGTTAAATTCATTGACATATATTCTTTATAAAATAAATTTTAATATTAGAGAATATAAATTAACATTGATTCAATATTATCTTGACGATATAAATGTATCCCTTTTAGCAACTCATAAATCTCTATTCTTAATTGCAAATGTCTTTACATTCCAAAATTTTTACATATATTCCGTTCTTAATCCTTCTTTACAAACAGCAATTTCGTGGCTAAAATTCAAAATATTCGTTGGATATCACCATTCAACTGACCATTCGCCTAATTTTCTGCTAAATCGGGTTGTCTATATTTAGTTCCTCTTAACCTTTTAACATTATCATCCTGAATTCTTATCATCCAGATTAATAAACAACTATATCTCAGGCTTCATCCCCCATCTAATATTTATTTGATGAAGCAACAAACAGATGGGAAGCCAACACATCTCCATCCTTTCCCATCACTCAAAAACCTTTTCACACCCTGTCTCTTTCAATCATCAGTCAATCCACCTTTAAACTATCCATTCAAAAGACAGATTTGGTGATCATGATGGCTAAAGTGCTGTCTAGGTTTAACCTTGGTAATCTCTTACAAGGTGAACAATTGAGAGTCGTCATCGGTTTACGCCTAGGTTGCGATATCGTCCAGCCTCACACTTGTGTCAAATGTAATATGCTAGTAGATTCGAAAGGCAGACACGGCCTGAATTGTTCACTTCAACAAATGTTTAACAGCCGCTCACATACCTAACCATATTGAGTTCACCAACTTATCCCCCGCCCATGAAATAATTCCATGGCCCCTAGGTAAATCTTTAAGGGATTTGACTTGTGTCTCATCATTTCCTTTTAAAAGAAACATACATTTATTCCCCCGAGCAAAATCAAAAAATATTAAAAAATACAAAGATCTTAACAATTTTATATTTACACCAATAATCATCTCCACAAACGTCCACTTTTCGCCTTAAATTTTTAAAAACTCTAGGCTTTAACGAGGCTAGGGAATTCTTTTTTATCCTGCAAAAAATTAACTTGATTCCGACTTGGGATCGCAAATAGACGATATTTATAATTTAATTTTTATAGCTCTTTAAATAATTTTATATAAATTAATATTGATTATTAAAAAATAAATGATAACACGAAAAAAAATTAATAAAATTTAAATAAAGAAATTTGTTGGTTGATCTGATTTGAAAACTTGGCTTAAATTATTTATAAAATTTAAAAAATATTTTTTTAAAAAAGAAAATATTTTAACCAACGAGTGACCTTCCTTTTCCTCAAAAAGGTAACGTCCTTAGTTAGTTATTAATTTCTTTATTATTAGTAGTATTTTCAAACGGCTCGATTTGAGTCGATTTTTAAAAACGGCTAACTCAATATTTTAGCCAGAATAATATTATATAAGTCTCGAGATTTTTCTAATAAATGTCCAAACCTTTGTGCCACCTATGAGCAAAATCTTAAGGTTTGTATAATATTTTTTCTGAATAAAACATTGAGTTAGCCATTTTTAAAATGAGCCTTTTAACAACACTAATTATTAGTGATAGATAAATAGGCTTTCATTTTTATATTTTAATATGAATTTTTATTTATATTACAACTTAGTATTCTAGTAGAAATTCAAAAATTAGCATTTAGAAATACTATTTTTTCTAATGTTAATAAATGGGATAAAATATAATCACATATCTTTGACCCGTGGGTATTTCAAGTCATTACGTAAGACTTCTGATTCTGATACCCATCTTTCTTGCTTACTGCACTATTATAACCAACATTTATCTATACTCTATCCCAATCTACTAATATTCCATCAATCCTGTATTTGTACTTAGCCGATCCGAGATCGATATTTAGAATGATTTTTATTTACTATCTACCCTTGAACTCATAAAAAAATATTTTCTCTGAATGCAAAAAAATATTTAACTGTAAACTATTGGTAAAACAAGTAACATTTTGAAATTTTCATTATCACAAGTGCATATTTAGTTTTTTTTACTCCCCCATAATTATGGCTGAATCGCTCGTTTTACATTTTAAAATCTTTTTCCTGTTGCAAATAATATTACAAAAAAACAATATTACCATTATATTCTTTCTCTCAAAATAATTCAATATTTTTTAACATTAACTAATGTATCCGTTAATTTCTTAAAATAACATGCCCTAAGAGACGTGAATATTATTCTAAATGAAATGTTAGACTCGTAAAATCGTCGGATCACTAATATAACATAATATTACCGAATATGTATCCATAGATATAATACGGCTAAAAAATATTAGAATCGTCGTTTGGAAAATTTTAAATATATATTTTATTTTTTAGAATTAACTCAGGCCTACAAATGGGAATAGGGATCGACTTTTCGTAGTATGCAACAGTCAAATCGATGAGAATTTACGAATTATTATTTAAATTTTGTGCATTCATTTTTTTAAAAAAGAAGATTGCATTCAATCTTTTATAATTTACCTATAATAATTTGTAGAATATATAATGTTAATAATTGAAATATGAATAAAATATTTTGAATTTATGATGTGATGTCGGTAAATAATTGTAACTGGAAATAAATTAATTTGTTTTTAAAAAAATATTTTATCTATTTTTAATTAAAAATAAGCCCAATGATTTGATTCATAATCCTAGTAAAATAAATTTTTATAATAGGATTCTGCTCCCATCTATAATAATTGTTATAATTAGGGGGTGCATTGATACCACGCTGATACTGAGGACCGATATATATATAAAAAGTTTACAAAAAACAATAGTTTAGTCATATTTTAGTAAAATTGATCAATTTTTTTAATATATATAATATAATTTTGATGAAATAAACTAAAAATTATGAATTTTGAAATTTTTTCTTCTTTTTTTCGAATTATGACTAGTGTATTTTTTTAGAAATGTTTAGTCAAACTGAAAATACCATTTATAATGATATTTAAATTTATTAGAAGACGAAAATTTAGTTTAATAATTAAATTTCAGTGTGAAGAATAATGGAATAACTAAATGATAAAACTTACGATTTTTATATAAATCATTAAATTTTAGATTATTTAGAATCTTTAGAAGGTTGAATAATTTGGTATCGGTCTATAGTATTAGCAAAAATTAAAGAGTATAAATAATTTTATTTTAGAGATTTTAAAACTTTTTCATAATTCTTTATTTAGAAAACCATTTGCAATATTGAATTTATTAAATACAATTTATATTATCAATATTATTTAATATTTGCTGGACAGTGTAATGTTGCCAGATTCTTCAACCTGAAATGACTCACTATTTAAAAAATGTAAAATGGTATTTACTAAAATTTTTCAACAATATTTAATTTTCTTACGAGAATAAACGAGGCAAGAAGTTGCCGTACATAATAAAAGCTGTTTTAATAGCTTATAGAAAAGTATCATGTCTCTTCCTGTAAAAAGTCTATGTTAGGCTAAGTGGTCTTTTTGTATTTTAATTAGCTTGTATTATATTCATAAAAATTATTTTGAAATACACTTTAAATATTTTTAATTAAACCATTATATCTTCTACTTTTAAATATAATATAAATATTAGAAAATATTTTGAGGGAAAAATTTATATGGCGTTAAAAACCATTTAGAAAAGAGTGTCTGCCATTTAAAATGGAAGAGATTTATAAATGTGACCAGTCGTTATGCATATATCATTAAGCAGAAACAATTAATTTATAGCTTTATGAAAATTATAATATGATTTAAAAAGAATAATTGCAAAAAAAGAAGCATTCGTTATGTCATTGCTAAATAATCCATTTTAAAGATATGTTTTAATATTTTGTTACTTATTATATAATAATAAATTAAATTTATATATAATTACCGGCGCTATGTGAGGATAAGCCTTGCATAATTTTTGTGAACTCTACTGTAGTTTAAAAACCCGATTCGGGTCGATTTTAAAAAACTACCCTATTCTAAAATAACATGCAAGACTAAAGATTTTGCTCATAGCTGGCAGAAATGCTTGGACATCTATTTGCCAAATCTAGATGCTTACAAAATATTATTTTAGCTAAAATCTTAATCGAGCCGTTTTAAAAAATCGACCCAAATCTAGATTTTTAACAACACTAGTAAACTCTTATAAGGCGGGTCATAGAACAATGTGCAAAATAAATGAATAAAATATTTTGAGGATATTCAATATAATGTGATGCAAAGTTATCAGTTTCTATATATTAATTGGATTCGGTCGTTCCCTTATATTAAAAAAACATTAATGAACTTCAGTAAAGCACAAGATTTGATGCTCTAATTGAATAAATTGTCGTTTTAGTATTAATATTGTTTAAAAAAAATTTCAGGCATTCCTTTCTACATCATAATACAAAATAAAATTGATTCAAATAAATTTTCTTCTTAAGCAAAACATTTTAATTAAGAAACTTTCTCTATTTTATTCCGCGTTGATATTAAAGCATGGAAATAGTCTGCAATCCAATTTGATCAGCTTTTGAAAGAACCAAACGTTCTGTTATAATCAAAACTTATACGGCTAAGGGTTTAGTATCCCTTAGAGTTCTGAAATTCGGTCCGGACATGATAATTAGAATTTATCTATGATATAGACAAATCAGTGTATTATTTATCTTAGTAAAAATGCTAATAATTTATGCCTTTTAATTTAAATTTCCAAGTTCAATGTCAAAATAAAAATTTGAGTCGGACCTGATCTGGTTCAAGCAGAAAAAAATTCAATTTGCAGGGCTCTACCGGAAATCACAAAATATTTTTAATGAAACTAATGTTAATACACATAGACGGAGAAATTATAACTACCAAATGAAAGAAACATGTCATATAGGGAAGAGTAAATATGGTCTTCCCCTTCCGGTTAAATATTTCGGAGTAGAGGGTCGATATTACTTGGGGAAGGAGTGGTCGGTAACTATTTTAGCCTTAATTTAACTGCATCTTTATTCCAAATATAAATAAATGTAACGCAGAATGTAAATCATTTTATTATGATCCATGACACGTTTGGATAATTTAATGCGCCTATTCTTTAAATTGTTTCCGTACACATAAAATAAAGAAAAATATTTATTTAAGTTATGATCAATCAGTAGGAAATAATCAATGGTGGGATTTTGTGCTCTTAAAAACAAAAAAATGATTCAAAATAAAGATTAAAATGGCAAATGGATAACATAAACGTTAGAGATATTTGTTAGCGCAATTAAAGAGAAAGCATATTAATTCTAATGAATTAATATAAAAATACATTTTATAAGGCTTAATACATAAACATTTTATATTTATAAAAATACATATTGATAATGTAATTAGTTATTAAAATTGAACTACACAAAAAACAAGTAGCGAATAATTGTTTTATGGGATATTCGCTTATCCTTAATTACTACGCAGCTAATTAGTGTTTGCAGTGGTCTAGTCGGCGTTTCATTGAATTCATTCGTCAAGTAATTTAATTTAGTAGGGTAGGTAGTATTATATTTTTATTTTTTGAAATTAAAATCATATAAGTTGATAATACTAGTGAACCATCACCCTCTTCAGGGGGTGAAAGAATGACATGATGTAAACCAAAAAAATCGATCAAATTCAAATTTGAAAGATGTTAAAGAATTATATAAGTTTTTTACAAGGGATAATTCTGGGAAAACATATAAGGTATGTCTAAAGATATTTTTCAATTCTTCAAGCACAAGTAAATTATGCAAATATATTAAAATGAGAGTTCAAAATTTTAAATATATGAATAAAAACTTCGTCAAATAAACCTACTTATAGTTATGATTAGGTTAGTTAAACCCAAGATTAACAAAATATTGCATTGATATTAGATCTAAAATATTGCTATTGGTTTAAATTATATTTTCTATCACTTGTATTGATATTGGTAAATCAATTTATTAATTAAAAGAATAGAAATAGTAATTTAAAAAACCCGCAATTTGTAGTTTTAAATAATCATGATACATTACCATCAAAATAGGGTTGAGACTTGAAAACCAACTCTCAAAATTTTTGAATCTAAATTCTTTTAAACTAGAGTGATGTGAAATCAGAATTTATTTATATCAACAAACCAATCAAATAATAAACGTATTCATTTTGGAAATTTTTATTTAGCAGTAGCACAAAAAATATGGCAAAAAGCCTACACTAAAATATAATATAACTGCCTATTTATATATACAGTGCAAAAATTGATATAAATTTAATATAAGGGAAAATAATTTATATCTTTAAAAAGGAAGGTCTACAATATGCTATTAAACAAAAGTGATATCCTCAAACATATTATATATATTTACTAGCACTATTTGGTCTTCACTTCATTCATTATAATATCCTAAATGAATAGATAAAAATTGATATCATTTTAAAAATTTACTTCCATAATAAAATATCACAAAAAAACCAAATAATTATATATATTTATTTTTAATATTGCATTGGTTAATATTATATTTAAGCAGAATATCAAACCCACTATATTTATTTAATTAGTATTGGTTGTAAAACTAATATCAATTGGTATTGGTCTCCCCTGGTCATGATCCCTTCTCTCTTAGATATTGATATTTTTTTAATTTAAATTAAAGAATAAGAGACCTTCGTGGGTTTGGTTGACCTGTGCTAAGCTTAGATTTTGAAATATATTTTTTAAAGGACTAGACTTGGTCATAAAATCAAGACCCATAAGATCTCAGATTCACATATGTGATGAATAATTTTACCTTACTTTGATACTACTTATGTTTCTTAAGCATAATAATGTTTTCATAGGAAAAAGTATTGTTCAGAAGGAAATACTTTTTTCTTCAGATTATATATATATTAGTAGAATTATAACTGCTCAAAACAAAAAAATTAATAAATACATTTCTGAAATCATTATAACGTCCACTATCCCCCTACATGCCCTTATAAATGATTGAATACATAAATCCTAATATTAAACTGTTCGCTTAAAATACCTTTAAAAAAATATTCTAAACAATTACTTAAATAAAAAAAGTCATGTTATATCCAGGCTAGCAAAATTGCCAAGAAAACTGGCTATTACAACATATTTATGGACGTCTGTTCAAAAACTTCCATATATATCTGTAAGTGGCCACTATATTGATGAAGCATGGAAAATGAAAGAAATAATATTGGGTATTAATTATATGTCTTATCCTCACAAAGCCGAAAACATATATAAATGCCTCTCTGAATTAATTGTTGAATACAATTTGAAAGAAATAATTATCAGTTTAACAACGGATAATGCTGTAAATATGCTTAAAACTCAGAGACTAATGAGAACTTACATGAGTACAAACCCATTAGCAACATATGGCTGTATGACCAGGGTTGCTATATCTCCCCCCATCAGCGGGAGACTCCCGCAATTTTTTAGTTTACA